CGTTAGTGGTTAACTTATGCAACCAACCCCTTCTGCCTCACGATCTGCGCTCCGCGTAGTTCCCCACGCTCCGCGCTCGTGTAGTTCCTCACGCTCCATGCTTGTGTAGTTCCTCACACTCTGCACTTGCATAGTTGTGTAGTTCTAATGATTCTTCTGTGTAATTCTCAATGTTCTTCCACTCTATGCTTCACTGTGAAACAGCTTCTGATATTCTTCTGCTCCGATCTTCTCTTTGTAAAAACCCTCTTCATATAACCTTTTCTTCTGATCTCTTTTCTTTTTCTTTTCTTAATCAATTCATAATCTGTATTTAGAATAGTGTTAGATTGTTAATTGATGTATGCTCATTACATTATAAATTGATTCATCTGTGTCAGCCTGAGTGCTCTATATTTATGATTGCACCCAGGTGTTCAAATTAAGAATAAGTTACTAAGTTCTCATGAGGCTGTGTTGTTGTGATAACATCTGCAAATTCTAAAGTTTATAAAACCACACCACTGTGATAGTACTGTGAAGAAGTCTAAGTGTTTAAGAACTTCACAATTGTATGTTTGTGAAAAGATCAGAGTGTTTATGAAGTATTTTCTCTGAAGAATAGGAACTGAACCTTCTGATCTTCAAGTTATCAGAATCAAAAACCATGGCTTCATATAAAAATAAAATGAATTATGAACACCCTTTTATGAGTGAGAACTGAAGTCTCACTGAAGATAACACTAAATTTTATAACTTTTTTCAGCAGCAATTTTTGCAGATAGCAGAGCTTCAATGACAATTGAATCATCTGAGTATAAATACATCAGAAAATGTGCAAGCATCAACATCTTTTATATACAAAAGAAAAGAACACCTCTCTTTTCTTGACAAGTTCACAGAAAAGCTCTCAATTTATTTAATTTGAAAATGAAAGATAAAAGCCAAGTTTGAAAAGAATGAATCTGTGATAGATTTTTTGCTCTCATAAACTTGCTATGTTTATAATCAGCTAGAAAAAGATGCTTTAATGAAGTTTCAACTTTGAATTGAATTATATATGTATGAAATATGTACCTCTGAAGAAGTCCTCTGTCAACTAAATGTTCTATTCTTGAATTCTACACCGCAAGCATATGCAATGCAGTGGCTGAATAGAAATTGTCAAAGGAATACCCCTTTAGCGAACTATCTGCCTGATTTCAATAGCAAGATTCACAAAGCAGAAGAACAGAATTGAGATGATGCTATTAAAATCAACTTTCTGAGTCAGCACATTAACTTTGAACTGCTCAAGCTCTGTATCTTGCACCTCATGCCCACATATTACCATAACTACTACACCCATTTATGCCAACTCAATAACAACCTCATATGTTTCAACACTGTACAAGGAAGCTGTAATAATCGTAGGCAGAACTTTACACCTACCACTGCATTGACTATGCCAACCACCTTTGCAGACGCCATGGATTGAACCCCTCATGTGAATGTAAAAGAGTCAAGAATATCTGATTTCTTTAGATGAAAAGTTACTGATCAAATCATCTGAAGAGTTTGCATCTGTTGCAACAGGTTGAAGCATTTTGCAAGTCAGTGTATCAACACAGTGGTCTCAGCTCCTACACCACATGTGAATGCAACTACATCTATGAATAAACAAAAACAGGGAAAAGAAGAGCTCTCATTTTAAAACATGAATGAGAGTTCAAAGAGTAAGAAGCTAGCTGAAGATTTGAGCAGAAGATGCAAGTGAATGCAATTATGGTCTCTGCCATTGTAAATAACTTAGTCAATATACAAGCAATGATAGACAGTGGTTTTCTTCATTACACTCTTATAAATACTCAACTGATTGAGAAGCATAAGCTTCAGTGTATTCTCTTCTCTAAATTGTGTAAACTCAGTGAATTCAACAGCCTCAGAGGATCCGCCTTCTACAACATGATAAGATTTAATGTCAATGTAAAGAGGTATGAGAAAAAGAATATTTATATATATGAAGTACAGAATCTCAGTATGATCTAATGCTTGAT